GTGGATGAAAGTGGTCCTGAAATACATCAAAATGGCCCTAAAATGGGTGAAAATGGCCCTAAAATGGGTTGAAGTGGCACTAAAGTGGGTGAAAGTGGCCCTAAAATGGGTGAAAGTGGCCCTAAAGTGGACCAAAGTGGCCCTAAAATGGGTCAGAGTGACCCTATAGTGGGTGAAAGTGGCCCACAGGTGAATCAAAGTGGTCCTGAAATGGGTCAAAATGGCCCTAAAATGGGTGAAAGTGGCCCTACAGTGGACCAAAGTGGCCCTAAAATGGGTCAGAGTGACCCTATAGTGGGTGAAAGTGGCCCACAGGTGAATCAAAGTGGCCCTAAAATGGGTGAAAATGGCCCTAAAATGGGTTGAAGTGGCCCTAAAGTGGACCAAAGTGGCCCTAAAATGGTTCAGAGTGGCCCTATAGTGGATGAAAGTGGTCCTAAAATGGGTGAAAGTGGCCCAAAATGGAGGAAAGTGGCCCAAAGGTGAATCGAAGTGGCCCTAAAATGGGTCAAAATGGCCCCAAAATGGCTCAGATAGCCCCCAAAATGGATGAATGGGTCGCTAAAATGGCTCAAAATTGCCCCAAAATTGTCCCAAATGCCCCCAAATACCCCAAATCCAAGTGCCCCCCCCCTGAATTGCAGGGAGAAGGACAAGGAGCTGAACCCGAAGCGGCCGCAGTGCATCACTATGGGGTGTCCCCAAATGGATCTGAGTGCCCCAAAATGGGCCAAAATGGCTCCAAGTGTCCCAAAATACCCCCAAATGGCCCCCAAATGGCCCCAATGGCCCCAAAATGTCCCCAAATGCCCCAAACTGAAGTGCCTCCCCCTCAATTCCAGGGAGAAGGACATGGAGCATCACTATGGGGTGTCCCCAAATGGATCTGAGTGCCCCAAAATGGCTCCAAGTGTCCCGAAATACCCCCAAATGGCCACCAAATGCCCCCAATGGCCCCCAAATGGCCCCAAATGCCCCAAACTGAAGTGCCCCCCCCCTTAATTCCAGGGAGAAGGACGTGGAGCATCACTATGGGGTGTCCCCAAATGGATCTGAGTGCCTCAAAATGCCCCAAAATGGCTCAAATTGCCCCTAAAATGGATGAATGGGTCACTAAAATGCCCCCAAATGCCCCCAAATGCCCCAAAATCAAGTGTCCCCCCCTGAATTGCAGGGAGAAGGACGCGGAGCTGAACCAGAAGCGGCCGCAGTGCATCAGTGTGGGGTGT